CCTGTATTCTGAATACACTTTTCATAAAAACATTCGCTTGGATTCGTTTTGAAAGCATAAACACATAAGATATATTTACATACATTTGAAAATCTAAAAGCTAACTCGTACGTTCATAAAATACAAAAACGAATGGTATCAGATCTTCACATCTTTTATAATCAACAAAGGAGATAAAAATAGGGATAAAACATAATTTTGTGGCGGAAAAAAGCATGACATTATTTGCACACATGATGAGTCGATGACGTATGGGCCCAACCTCGAGAGGAATCACTCTTCAGCACGACTCTTCCTATGAACCTGGGGGAAAGGGTCTAAAAAGGGGTGAGCTGAAATACTCAGTGAGTGGGGGATTGGGGAGAGTTTGCAAAACATTCTTCAAACAATAGTCATGACATGCAATAGTTCTTATGAAATCCTAAAAACAACATGATTCTATGAATGTGTTATGGAAGTAACTCAATCATTCCTGTATGCATGTATAACTCGTTTCTAATATTGTTCTAAGTACTGTAATCTCATCATTTAAGCTGAAAACAAATCCTGAATTATAGCTCATCATTGAATGCTTAAAATTCTTTTTCTGGAAACTTAAAACATAACTGTAAGTGCTTATGCTTATGGGAACAATGTTTCCTGTAAGTCATGGTGCAACCATCTATGTCATCACTCAAGAATGCATATGATTCTAAAAATAATAACTCTACTAGTTATGCTGTGGACATCCAAAGCATCATTCAATGAACACTCATGATTCACAAAACAAAATCTAGTAACTAAATTTATAACTACTGTGATGATATAAAATTGAAAGCTGAATTTTCTGAAACCATGCACTGATAAATGATTTTGGAATACTGTAAATTTTATGCTGATAACTGAACTTTAAACTGAATACTATAGCTTTTACTGATATTGAAAATTATAAACTGATATCTTATTCTAAAACTGTGGCTAATACTGAAAGCTCTCTTAATTATTCTAAAAACTCATATTGAGACTATCGCTCATAGTAGATAATAAAAACTGAATCTGATTTTGAACATTTTAAAACTGATTATGATATTAATAACAGAAAACTCTCACCACAACTAGTACCCTCGGGGAAATCTGTCTTACCTGGTGAGCGTCCCGCACACAGGCAGAGCAAGAGATGTACCTGTCATACTCGGCAAGATCTATTATCGTGTGGGCAGAGCCACTAAAACTGTCATACCTGGAGGACCACTCAACGCCCAAGCAAAGCCAATAAAATCTGTCATACGCATGTGCAGAGCCAAAATCTGAAACTGTCATACCCGGCAGAATCCTACATCGCTCGGGTAGAGCCAAAAATCTGTATCTGTAGGGAACGGGTACTTTGCAGGCTGGTTTGAAAATCACTTTTATCTCTATACTGATCTTTATCATTTTTCTCATAAAACTTATGCTTTTCTTCTTTATAAAAGATATGCTTAAAATCAATATATTTTATGCAATGTACATGGGTAAGCATGTAATCTTATAAAACTTATGCTCTTTCTCATAAACATATACCTTTCCTTTTTATACCAAAAAATATTTACAAATAGCAAACTTTATGAATGAAAGGATAATCTTGTAGCTTTGCAATGGTTTCTATAAACATAGCAATTTCGACGCATCAATCTTTCTCTTCTACTCTCTTTTAATGATAGAGCTATGTTATAGACAGGAAAGCATATCTCTTCCTTAGTTGTAAACATGCATTATAAACATAATTTCTTATGCAATGTATAATGGTAATGAACAAATTTCACAAATCTTCCTCAAAATAAAAATCTCAATGCATCCTTTTTCTTTGTTGAAACCAGTCACCAAATGAGATGCAAAACTCAATTCTAAACATGTGAGTCAACATAAAAAAAATCAAGCATTGCTTTGGCAAACATAATTCATTAAAACATTTACCAAACGCCACGAATCTTAACTCATATGCAATTCAACCAATTTCCAAGCTCTCAGTAGCAACATTTCTCTTCACATGCATGCATCAATTAACATCCAAACGACAAGCCATTAACCCATCAGATTATAAAACATGTATATATAACATAAGTTTTTTAAAGATCATTCAGGGGTAAAAATACAAACTTCTAAACATGTTTCAAAACTGACAGTTTAACCCAGATTTGGAATTCCCTCAACATTGCAACTCACTACACATAACCGACTCCACCCATTAATTCAACATCACAGATCACTAACTTATCAACAATTTTCCAGCAGCCAACACACTAATTCTCATAAGGTAACTTTACTATAACATAAAGTTAGGGAGAACGACTTATACATACCCAACGTTTATCGAAACGACAAGTTGGTACCCAAAAGGTTTTGAAACGACAAATGGGTACCTTCCGTCATGTTCTGTTAGTGTTTTTCGTTAGATAATAGTGAAAAGACTAAAATGCCCTTAAAAGTTTAATTTTTAGTTTTTTAAAAATCTCTAAAAACCCCCTATGTTTGCTAATTTGATTAAATACCCCAATATATAAAAATTTTATAAAATAACAAATACACCCCCGCCACCACAGTGCCAGATTCCGGCCACCACCGCCGGAATCTGGCCGGAAAATTGTGTTACGACACAGACCCGTCGGATCTGTGTCGTAACACACCGATCTGGCCTTTTCAGGCCAGATCCGCCACGGATCTGGCCGGAAAAGGCCAGATCTATGTCTGGCCTTTTTCGGCCTCGACGGCCAGATCTGGCCTTTTCCGGCCAGATCATCCACGGATCTGGCCTGAAAACGCCAGATCGACGTGTTACGACACAGATCCGATGGGTCTGTGTCGTAACACAATTTTCCGGCAAGCTTCCAGTCTCGACGGCCAGATCTGGCCGTAGATCTAGTCTTTTCCGGCAAGATCAGCCACAGATCTTGCCGGAAAATGAAAGATCTACGCGCTACGACACAGATCCGATGGGTCTGTGTCGTAACGCAATTTTCTGGCAAGCTTCCAGTCTCGACGGCCAGATCTGGCCGTAGATCTAGTCTTTTCCGGCAAGATCAGCCACAGATCTTGCCGGAAAATGAAAGATCTACGCGCTACGACACAGATCCGATGGGTCTGTGTCGTAACGCAATTTTCCGGCCAGATTCCGGCGGTGGTGGCCGGAATCTGGCACTGCGGGTGGCGGGGGTGTTTTTGTTATTTTATAAAATTTTTATATATTGGGGTATTTAGTCAAATTAGCAAACCTAGGGGGTTTTTTAGAAATTTTTAAATTTATAAAAAAACTAAAAATTAAACTTTCAAGGGCATTTTAGTCTTTTCACTATTATCTAACGAAAATCACTAACAGAACATGACGAAAGGTACCTATTTGTCGTTTCAAAACTTCTTGGGTACCAACTTATCGTTTCAACAAACTTTGGGTATGCATAAGTCGTTCGGCCCATAAAGTTATAAGCGAATATATATATATATACATAAACATATATACCCCCATGCTAAAAGAACAAAGATTGTGACCAATCCAATATATCAACCCAACTGCCACTTCCCATTACCAAAGTCTGGACCCATTTTTAATCATTCTCCCTCCTTTACTCTTCCATTGGCCGAGCTCAAACAGCACCCCATAATGAAATTGCTCCCAAATCTAGCAACCTACATTTCATATAAAATATAAAGCCATTTTCTTTTATATATAATTATACCATGCAAAGGAGATAAAACTTATTATTTTAGAGTCAAACAAAAGCATTTTGCCTTGCCATCTCACCAACAAAATTATTTCACAAAACCCAATCATATATTTTACCACCAGCATAGCACATATAATCATCATATAAAAATGCATGAAAATGAAGTATTAACCAAAAATTAAAAGAAAAACCACATGACTGCCGACACTACAACTGAAGAAAATCAATTTCACCACTCAACAATTTGGTTTCCCTATTCAAGCAAAAGGATTCTACACATACATCAATACACTCATACAAATTACCCAATATATATACACCCTTATTTGGCCGAAAATCAAAGCCTTCATATCACTCATTTGCATGTTAAATAATTATGTAAAGAAAATAGATAATATTCCTCATAAACTAAAATATCATCAAATAAGTCAACCAAGCACAATTCATAATCAAACCATTTAACCAAGCACAATTCATAATCAAACCATTTCACATGAATTTTTATGCAATACTATTCCACTCACAATTTCGGTGCTCCACCCAAAAGCCCAGCACTTCCTCACGGATTTCCTCCTTCCTTTTCACCAAATCTTACAAAAATTGAGTGATCTCCTTTTCTTCTTCGCTTAGTCGGCGCCTATTTCTCTCTCTCTCTTCCATATTTTGTTTTTTTTTTCTTTTCTTCACTCTTTCACTCTTCTTCTCGGCTGAAACCCGTTTCTCCTTCTCTTCTCCTTTTTCCTTTCTTCTTTCGGGTTTCTTCTCTCATCTTTCTTCTTCTTCATATTTTATATTTTTAGTCTTTCTAAATTTATGCTTCTGCCCCTAGATTACAGGTAATCCCGCTAAACCCCTACCACATCAGCATTTCTTTCAAATAAACCTCCAGATTTTGCCCCTTGTTACATGCAAACCCAACAGCTTACTTATCTTGCAATTTCATTCCCAATAAAACTTTTAAAAACTAACAGAAATCCCCTTCCATAAAAATAAAATCACACAGAATATGTAATATGTATTAGGATTAAAAATGGGGTTTCACAATATAACAGCCTTAGTTTCTTCCAGGATGAACAATTAAGGATGGAAGATTTTCAGACTACTCAGAAGCAGTTACACCAGAAGATTTTTCTAACTTCTGTATCTTGGAGAACGGTTCCAGGAAGTTACTACGTACAAAGAAATCAAATTTTCTATCTACCCCAAAGACCAAAGTAATTCGTTATGCATGGTAATTCTCCCTCAATTCTCTCATTTATTTATATTCAATAAAAAAGCATATTGCAAATATTTGACTGGTGATAGTGTGTTTCCTCATATGCAGAACTGATTTGCTACTGAGGTTAAATATGCTGAGAATTTTCTGTAAAGGACTCAAATGGTGTGCTTGCCGCAGATATGAAATTGGTTCGTCATGCTTGTCACTGATCTGTTATGTTTCTTCATTTGTTTAAGTTCCAATCAGAGAGTGTGTATATCATAGAACTGTTTTGACTGTCATGCTTCTTTTAATATCTAGAATTCATTTGCTACTCATGCTAGCTATGCCAAGAACTTAAAGCTCCTTTACCAATCAGAAGAGAAAGTACTGAAGGACCAAATTCTATTGGTCAATATTTGCTGGAACTTCATTGAGGCTGAAGTGCTCAATGTCTAGTTTTCACATTTGCTTGGTGAGCTTCCAAACTAAATTGCTATTGATAACCTTGAAATATGCTAAATAATCTCTGTCAATATATCTTAAAGGTCGCAGCCCCACTTCTCAAAAAATAATTATCTAATTTTAGTGTTTAGGTGCTATTTTTTCACTTAAGCTATGCTACTTTCTATTCGCAGAGGAGAAAAAAAAAAAAAGAAGCTATTTTAATGACAAGTCATTGTTACATTGATTTTGGATGACGCCACCACAAAAATTGGTCATTGGACTCAAAGGGTTAGTTATATAATACTTTCTCTCAATGTTTTGTGTTTTCTTCATTTATTGGTGGTTATTTGAAACCAAATCTTTCCATTGTGTGACAACTTCTGTTTTTTCCCTTAAAAATGCAGAATCAATTTTGCTAGTCATGCTGACAAGGCTAGTATGAAGAAATTCTGTGGAAATGTTACCTGAAAGTTTTTGTATTGTGTTGGATATAATTCATACTTTGCATGGGCTTAGCAGATTAATGACTTACGTTGATGCATTCATAGGTCTCACTTGCCAGTGAGTGAGTGGGGTGAAGGGGCAGCAACCATTGAAGGTGAGCCGAATTAGTAATTGGGTTTAGAATTGATTTCTAAATATTTGGGTGTGGGTTGGGTTAGATTGGATCAACCCGAATGGGGTTAGGGTTATTATTATATGCATATTGTAATAATGGAAAATCCCTGGTGTGAGAAAAATGGAGAGAAAGAGTGAGCTATTAATACTTTTTCATTATTGTATTCCATAGATTTTGAAACTCAGTAAAACTACTCTATTTGAATGCTGGACGTAGTTCTCAGTAATTGAGAATGAACCAGGGTAAATTGATTGTGTCCTCTTTACTTTTCTGTTGTATTTGTTGTGTGTTTTGGTTGTGGTTTCAACATGTTGCACACTTTAGATATTAGTGGTTGTATGCTACGGGGATTACCTCATGGAATGGAAAATTAGTTAATTTGAGACATTTAATAAATACCTCTATATCACTAAGTTACATTCCAAAAGAGATTCAGAAATTAAGTGGTCTTAAAACATTGTTGGAATTCGTTATAATCATGATAGTAAAGCATGGACTCTTGAAGGATTGAAAATTTTGAATAAGCAGCACCAAAACAAATATTTTCTTTCTTCTATCACTGCAGTTTCTTGCCCTACAATAGAGGAGAGAAGAAGAAGTCAATCTAAGTGATTGGGAAAAGGAATCAAATTGTATGTTCCCAAAAGATCAAATTGGTTAGTTATATTCATTAAAAAGAATATATTTCAAAAATTTTGACTGGCTATGTTGGTTTTCTTGATATGCAAAATTGATGTGTTGCAAAAGCTAATTATGTGTATAATCTAAATATTTGTTGGCCAATGGCAGATAGTCACCGATTCTTGCAACAAAAAGAAAATGTGTCCAGTGTTTGGTTTTCACATTTGCTTGGTGAGCTTCCACCATATCTATATTTCTATATCCTTTTTGTTTTCTGTTTTTCTTGAAAAATTAACTTGTCATTGATAATAAGCATTGTTCAACGCATGTATTATTGTTTCTTTTTAGATTAGTATTCCAAATCTTACAGTTTAAACTATTAGATAGACCCACATTAATTCTAATAGACGTTAGCCCATATAAAAGTAGAATAGATAATTCACTTGTACACACAAGTTTAAAAAAAAAAAAAAAAACATGTAATTCAGCCTTAATTCACTCTTCCCTATGTAATAAACGTTGTTTCGGAGTTAAGATTTGATTAATGATTGTTAGTTTTAGGGGAATATTTCTTAGTATTTTAAAGGTCGGGACCTTGATATTAGATCAAAAGTTCATAATGGATTAAGTCAATCTCTCCTTATAATTAATAGTTTCTTGGTGTTGGATTTAATTATGTGAAAGGGTATGAAAATAATTTACAAAGTGGTTTCATATTAAAATTTAAATTAATGTAAAAATATAAATAAATAGATTTTAAAAGACAAAAAGAAATAAAAATAAAAATAAAAAGAGGTTGACAAAATCATTAGAATTAGGCATCAAAACTTGTGTTCATAGCAAGTTCAAAGACATTGTTGAGATTAATTTACATATAAAAAAAAAAAATACTAAAATAAAACTAAAAATTTGATATTGTATCTTAATATTATTTTTTTTTTGTAACAAAAAAAAAGAAATTTAAATTGACTTGCAGTCAAAGGACAAAATTACCCAAAAGAAATACTAAAATTCCCAACCAACTCCCCAACTGCTTAACGAACTCTTTCTCATTTCTTCTTCATTCATCTACCAAAACTTGTAGTATCTCCCTCTTCACTATAACAATCAAGTCACACTTTCATTTAATTAAATTAATTTTTTTCCAAATATTTAATTCTTCTGCAATCAACACCAGATCTCCACCATCCACTCACTGTCTCATCAACGATTAAAAACATGCCTTAGCTCACTCTCACTTCCACCACCATCACTAGACTGGCCCAGCCCAATCCCCACTAGCTCAAATATGCAATGACTTGTATTCATTCAAACTGAAATCTTTTCCATGGAAAAATCAAAATGATCCTATGCTCTCTCTCAATAGCAATAATACCTTAAAGAAAACTAAGGGGATGTTAATAATATGTAATCTTAATTAAATATAAGGTCAATAACTTTATACACACCATTCTAGAATAAAATTAATTTGGAACCCATAGATGAAGAAAATTCTTTACAGTTTTGACCATCGTACAAGTATGTAGGGTTTGCAAATTTTTTGCAATTAATTATTAATTAGACAAAAAAACAAATGAAAATAGAGAATATGTTACATAACAACACAATTTGTGTCTATAAATTAGTTGAACACATAAAGTTGTTTTGATTTGCTCATAAATAAACTGGTTCTCTACAGGAAAAAAAAGGTGTTCTATCCACACGTTTATAGAACAAAATTTTTCTCAATATCCCAAATAAATGAACATTATAATGGAGGGACAAATTTGTTTTGAAAGAAGGGAAGATAGGCCCAAAAGCCATGTGAAATACAATTGTAATAGTCCTTGGCTTAAAGTTAATCGAGTGGGGGGACAAAATCATTTTGAATGAAAGGAAAGGTAGGCCCAAAGTCATGTCAAATATATCAGGACGTACTATTTTCAGAACATGAATCAACTTTAGTCAATTACACAATTTATTTCTTGTGAACAAGCTATCTTCTTTTTTTTTTTTTTTTTTTTTTTCCCCTTCTTAGAATTATCTTCTCAATCATTCATGATAAATTTAATAAAATAGAGCATGGGGTGTTAAAAACATCTTGGATTAAGTCAATCTCTTCTTATAATTAATAGTTTCTTGGTGTTGGATTTAATGATGTGAAAGGGTATGAAAGTAATTTAGAAAATGGTTAAATGTTAAAATTAAAATTTAATGTCAAAATATAAATAAATAGATTTTAAAAGACAAAAAGAAATAAAAATGAAAATGAAAAGTGGTTGGCAAAATCATTAGAATTAGGCATCAAAACTTGTGTCCATACCAAGTTCAAAGACATTGTTGAGATTAATTTTACATATAAAAAATACTATAAATAAAACTAAAAATTTTAATATTGTATCTTAATATTATTATTTTTTTGTAACAAGAAGAAAAAAAGAAATTTAAATTGACTTGCTGTCAAAGGACAAAATTACTGAAAAGAAATACTAAAGTTTCCAACCGACTCCCTAACCGGTTAATGAACTCTTTCTCCTTTCTTCTTCATTCATCTACCAAAACTTCTAGTGTCTCCCTCTTCACTGTAACAATCAACTCATACTTTCATTTAATTAAATTAATTTTTTTCCAAATATTTAGTTCTTTTGCAGTCAACACGGAATCTCCACCATCTACTGACTCTCTCATCAACGGTTAAAAACATGTCTTCGCTCACTCTCACTTCCACCACCATCACTAGAGTATTGGCCCAGTCCAATCCCCACCGACCCAAATATGCAATGACTTGTATTTATTCATACTGAAATCTTTTCCATGGAAAAATCAAAATTATCCTATGCTCTCTCTCAATAGCAATAATACCTTAAAGAAAACTAAGGGGACCTTAATAATATGTAAGCTTAATTAAAAATAAGGTCAATAACAATGTACACACCATTCTAGAATAAAATTAATTTGGATCCCATAAATGGAGAAAATTCTTTACAGTTTTGACCATCATACAAGTACGTTTGTGTCTATAAATTATTTGCAATTAATTATTAATTAAAAAATTAAAATAGAAAAAAAAAAAAGTTAAATAACAACACAATTTGTGTCTATAAATTAGTTGAACACATAGAATTGTTGTAATCTGCCTATAAATAAACTGGTTCTCTACAGGAAAAAAAAAGTGTTCTATGCACACGTTTATAGAACAAAAATTTTCTATATCCCAAATCAATGAACATCATAATTGAGGGACAAATTTGTTTTGAAAGAAGGGAAGGTAGGCCAAAAGCCATGTGAAATATAATTGTAATAGTCCTTGGCTTAATGTTAATCGAGTGGGGGACAAAATCATTTTGAATGAAAGGAAAGGTAGGCCCAAAGTCATGTCAAATATATCAGGACGTACTATTTTCAGAACATGAATCNTTTTTTTCACTGGGGCAAAGAAATTTATCAAAATAGCTATAATGCATTGTGGTCTACAAGATAGGGAATATTAGAATGTGATCAGCTGGAGAAGAGAAGAGGATTTGCAGTAATGCTTTTCATTTCTGTTATCTATATGCCCTCTGTTTTGATTTTTCAGCTAAGCTGTTTTGATTTTTCTGGAGATAATGTCTTGGGAAGTTTGTTTTCTGACTACTTAAAGCAGTTAAAACAAAGAACTTTTCCATAACTGAACTTTGAAGCTTTAAATGTTAAATTTGCGTCATTGGTTATCTCTTAAGGTTGGATGGATCCAATCAATTATGCAGCGTGTTTTAGTTTTGATGCAGTGCATATTGGTTGAATTTTACAGCAAGATGACACACTGTTACCCCCTCTATACTTTCTTCATTTACATATGTTCAATAAAAAATTATGTATCAGAAAATGTTGACTGCTCATATTTTTTTTTTTCTTTATATGCAGAATTGATTTGCTAGTAATGCTAATTATGCTGAGAATATAAAGCTTTGTTACTTATCAGCAGATAAAATATACCAAAGGACAGAACTACAGAAATCTTGTAAGTAATATTTGCTTCTTAATGTCACAATTTGTATCATATTGTTTGAATTTTACAGCAAAATGACACACTGTTACCCTCTTTTTTTTCAGGTACTGAAAGGAAGCAGGAGAATTCAACAATAAATCTTCATGGATTGGAACTCTGAGTGCAACTTGAATTGTATTGCAGAGCATGGTTTGGGTCAAGCCTCAAAATCAATCTTGTCATCTCCAAGAATATCCTGTGATGCAACCTGCACAATGGATCAAATCCATTTTTGTTTTCTCTTTTAGTAGAATTCGGACACAACTCCAATTTGTTCTGAACAGTTTTTGCATCAACAGAAAGTCAAAAAGCATTCATCGGTGCCATCATTTGATCCATCAAACAAGATGCCCTCGTCTGCATGTCATGGAAAATGCACATTCAGCTTCAAGGATAACCATGGATTAGTCGCCAAGAGCAGAATTACAACCCTTGGCTTTCTCTTGACGACAAGCTTTCATTCATGCAATGGAATTTGGAGCTTCTTGTTTTCCACATGTCAGGGTGCAACTGAACGATATCGTTCACCATTTGAAGTGAGATTGTAAATTTGTTGGCAATTGCCTCTAAAAGCCTTGGATGCCATTTCCTTTGTATTCAATTCTCTGATGGTCAAGATAGTTTTCAATTAAGTTCAAACATTTAGTTTTAGTTAATGCAGCATATTGTTTCGGTACACAAAGATTTTGTGTATTATAAACGTTTTGTATCATTTCAAATACGCTTCTTGATTAATTACCGGACGAGAGACTTCATCCCAAAGATCGTATAAATATTTTTGTTGTTTCTTTGCTGTGCATAATAGATTACACTAGAAAAGATACATAATTTTGTATCAGGTTTTAACATTCAAAAGCACTAAAATTAGAAGAGAACATTTTCCCTAAACCCAATTATGTCGCTTAAGGGAGCTTCTCAATTTTCCCTAAATTCTGTCTGTAAAATCCTTTGAGCATATAAATTAATTGCCTGATATAGTTTTAATTGCAATTATTCGTTTTTGTTAACAGGACTTTCTATTCCTGGCTTTAACTTTCAATGTGAAAGAAAACATTGGTTTTTGAATTCTTTACGGCCCATTAATACTCTATAGAGATTAGAGAACTCAATTAATTTCATTCCAATTGTCTCCTCTAAAACTTACATGTTTTAATTTAATCCATTCGGGGTCGATTTATGTGGACAACATTTCAAAGCAAAAGATGCTCTTTCAATCACTAGAAAATTATAGAATTAATTAAAATTGACTTAAGTCAATGCATATATATATATAACAATTAAATTATGATTTATATATAACAATTAAATTATGATTTATAACAATTAAAATTATGCTCTTTCCTAGAATTTTACTGATTGAAAGAGCATCTTTTGACCAACTTTCTTCTTCTTTTTCTAAACTAATAACACGTCATAATTGAAGGACAAAATTGTTTTGAAAGAAGATAGTCCTTGGCTTAAAGTTAATTGAGTGGGGGACAAAGTAACTTGGAATGAAAGGAAAGGAAAGGAAAGCTATGTGAATTGAGAGCACTAAAATTCAAGCCATACAAGAGTACAATTGCATGTATGTATTGTTCTTATGGCCTTATTTGAGAGTTAAATCTATTGAATAATTTGAAATTTCATGTACAATTACTTGGAAATAGTTTTTTAAGTGGTTTAATTTGTATTTTTTTTTTTTAATTTATCCTTGTTGGGTTTTTTATAAAAGAAAAAATTATAAATTGTTTATATATAATTTAAATTTTAGATACGATTAAAAAGAGAGTTTTGTAAGTCGACTAATTTAAATATTTACTTTTAACTTATAAGTTGGGAGATTTTGAGACCGTCGGGCCAATGACATCCAGGTTGGGAGGGAGAGAGGACTAGCAGCTGTGGGGTATGGGGTTAGAGAGCAAGAGAGGGGCGGTGACTATGGGTGATAAAGAGGGAGATTGTGGGATATGGAGGAAGAGAGGAGCCACGATGTGGGTGAGTCATGAGTGGGTTAGGTTTAAGGGTTTTTTACAAAATTATGTGAATTGTTGATAATTATATAATTTTATGATAGACTACCCCAGTCCAGCCCCCTCCCCTACATGTTAGACATAATAGATAAAATTATTAAATTATATAAATATTACAAATTGTTATATTAAAAAAAAAAAGAAACAAAAAAATTTGAAAAAGTTAAAAATAAAAAATTTGGAAAAATAGAAATATCTAAATAAAAAAAGAATAAAAATATTGCAAAACTTTAGAAAGTTAAAAAAATTAAAAAAATCTAAAAAAAAAAAAACACACAATTGCTAAGTCGGCAGTTGCACAAATATTGTTTAGATTTTGGCTTTTTTTTTAGTTTTTTTTTTTAAGTATTTTTAATTTTTCTAAATTCTTAAAAGTATTTTAAATTTCCTTTTATTATTTAAATATTTGTAATTTTAGGTTAAGGGTTTGTATTATTTATGAATTTAAAAAAGAAAATTGTTATTTTACTTTCTCTTTAAATTTAAAAATGAGTTGATAATCAATTTGAGGGTAAAATAGTCAAGTTCAAAATATAATTAGTGTAAATAAATAACCGTGTTTGGTCAAAATTAATCAACTCTCATATTTAACAAGAATAAACTGATGGCAGGGGGTCATGTGGTAATATTTCTGGGGGTTTTGATGTCAAAGTTCAGTTTGCGAGCTTCAGGGGTGTAATAGTATTAAAACTTAATAAATATAAAACTTTATCTTTTACCCTTTATCATGTTAAAGCTAACTATTTGACGGCAAAGAGTTGAACGTAATTGCTAGTACCTGAGGGGATTTATGGTTTTTGGCAAATCTCGGGGGGTTTAAAAAAATCCCAAAATTAATGATAACAATTACGTTACTTTCACACATATTGGGAAAAAAAAATAAAAATTGAAAAATACATTTCAATATTAAATGCTGTTGGTTGACTTTTGCAATATGCAATAAATTTTAGGATAGTATATGGATGGCAGCATTCACTAATTATAACACAAAAGCATACGAAACAGATATCTCCATTTCTTCTCTTTCATATTATTGATCATATCTGAATATGGCTGAAGCAATTGTTTCGGTTTCGTTGGAGCTGCTGGATTCAATTCTACTTCCAACTGCTGGCTTCATAGGAGAACAAGTGAGGCTAGTGGGAGACGTTGACGAAGAAGTAGACAAGCTTAAGAACAATCTTCAAGCCATTCAAGCTGTGCTACTTGATGCTGACCAAAAACAAATGAAGAATAGAGCTGTGAGAGTTTGGTTGAATCGGCTCAAAGACGCATGTTATGACGTGGAAGATGTGCTGGATGAGTGGAACACTGAAATCATGAAACTGAAAATTGAGGGAGGTTATGTTCATAATGCTCTTGCTCCTGAGAAGAAGGTATGTTGCTTTTTTCCCTCTCCTTGCTTTGGCTTCAAAGAAGTTGTTTTACGACATGACATTGCGGTTAGGATAACAGAGATAAATAAAAAGTTAGATGCTATTGCAAAAGAAAAAGGTGATTATAATCTTAATGTCATTTCAGCTAATGAGTGACCTGATTATCAACGAATGCAAACTACCACTTTTATCGATGTATCTGATATATGTGGTAGAGATGTTGAGAAGAATTGTTTAATTAACAAGTTATTGTATGAGAGTAGTGAACAAAACCTCCAGATCATCTCACTTGTAGGGATGGGAGGAATTGGAAAAACAACTCTCGCTCAATATGTGTACAATAATGGTGATGTAAAGAGCAATTTTAACATCAGAATATGGGTGTGCGTATCAGATCCTTTTGATGAGCTCATGATTGCCAAAGCAATTATTCAATCTCTAGAAAATTCTAGTACTCCTATTGTAGGTGATCTACAATTTCTTCTTCAACGTATTCATGACTCTATTGCGGGTAATAAATTTCTTCTTATTTTAGATGATGTGTGGAATGAAGATTACAATAAATGGGAACCATTCTATAATTGTTTGAAGAACGGTCTCCATGGAAGTAAAATTTTAATTACCACGCGTAAAGAGTCGGTTACACGTATTATGAAGTCAATTGATATTATCAATGTTAAAGAATTGTCCTATGAAAAGAATTGGGAACTATTTAGGAGGCTAGCTCTTTCAGAAAGACCTGCTCATGAGTGTGAAAAATTAGAAGAAATTGGTAGGGAAATTGTTAAGAAGTGCAAGGGGTTACCTCTTGCTACAAAAACCATCGGAAGTCTTTTGCAGTTTAAAAGGAGTAGAGATGAATGGCAACGTGTTTTGCATAGTGAGATGTGGAAATTAGAGGAGATTGAAAAGGGCCTTCTATCCCCTTTGATGTTGAGTTATAACGATTTGCCATCCTCAATAAGAAAATGTTTCTCTTATTGTGCTATCTTTTCAAAAGATCATTGTATAGAAAAAGATAAATTAATTAAATTATGGATGGCACAAGGTTATTTGGGGTTAGAAAAAGATACAAAGTTAGAGACAATAGGTGAAGAGTATTTTCACCACTTAGCAACACGATCGTTCTTCCAAGAATTTTCAAAATATGAAGATGTTGTAGCAAACTATAATAAAGAGAGCTATAAGATGCATGATATAGTGCATGACTTTGCGCTATTTTTGAGTAATGGTGAATGTCTTGCTGTAGAAGTCAATATTGGTGATAATGATCCATTTATAAACTCTTCTAACAAAAATGTTCGTCATTTAATATTAAAGGTTAATGAAGGGGTTCCATTTCCCAAGTCCATTTGCAGTATCAAAAGTCTACGTAGTCTCATCATTTTTTATCATGACAACAGAGATAATGCATTGTTCGGTGGTCAAAATTTATGTGAATTGACATGTTTAAGGTCATTGATGTTCCATGGATTTGGAGTTAAAGAGATTCCAAAAGAAATAAAAAATTTAATTCACTTAAGATATCTCTATTTGGGTCTGCAAAGTATAGCAGAGTTACCAGAAAGTTTGTGTGAATTATATAATTTGCACACTTTAGACATTAATCTTTGTTATGATATAGTTGAATTACCTGAAGGGATAGGGAAATTAGTAAATTTGAGGCGATTAATAAATGATGGGTGTCCGTCACTACTTTACATTCCGAAAGGGATTGAGAAATTAACTGGTCTTCAAACATTGAGCGAATTCGTTATAAGTAGTGAAGGTGATAATGACAGCAAAGCATGTAGTCTCGAAGGATTGAAATTTTGAATAATCTTGGAGGGAGCCTTAAAATAATAGGGTTGGGATTTGTGAAAATTGCGAGTGATGGTAAAATTAACCAAGGACTTACGAATAAGGAAAACCTCACTAGTCTGACTATGGAGTTTTGTGAGCGGAAAAAGAGGGAAAGGGGACGTTTGGTGCCGACAACTCCTGGAGGAGGGGTATCATGTGAAGATTATGAATTAGCCCTCGAAGCCTTACTACCACCTCCAAAATTAGAGTGGCTGAAGATAGAACACTACAGAGGCAACACTTTTCCCTCCACTTGGATCACGTCATTAACCAAGCTGAAGTCTTTAATTCTTGGGAATGTTTCCAATTGTAAGAATTTGCATCCATTGGGGAAACTGCCATCCCTTGAAAGATTATATATACTTTCAATGAACAATGTGAAAAAAGTGGATAATGTGTTTTGGGGAATGGAAAGTGGAACCTCTTCGTCATCTTCATCCTCTTATTTCTTCCCCAAATTGGAAATACTTGAATTTCGGTATATGTACCCATGGAAGGAGTGGGACAACGACAATGCAAAGAAGGGAGAAGATAAGGAACATATTAAATTCATGCCTTGTCTCGCTGCCTTGCGAATTTTTTCCTGCCCCAGTTTAAAGGCACTTCCAGACAGCCTTCTCCAGAGAACAACACTCAAAGAATTGATCATTGAATTCTGTGATATTCTACGTGAACGATACAAAGAGGGAACAGCAGAGGACTGGCACAAGATCTCTCACATCCCTAAAATCAGAATAGAAGGAGGTAATAACTTATGTATGCTCCTTGTTATTACTTGATTTACTTCTAATCTACGAACTACATTACTTTTCTTTTTAATCAAATTATTGTTATATTGAAAATGTTAAGGTTGCTGGGTACGGCAATTTCTGCTGCCAACTTTACATAAAATTTCGAAGTTGAAGTTCAATATCGTCATTTGTTTAATAAATATATGTCACTAATTTTACAGCCTTAGAAGAAATTTCGTTTCCATAAGCATGCAATGGCAGGGAGAATTCGTGTCTGAAATAAGAAATCAGGTGATTGGCCATTGACTTTCCATAGAGTCTTTTATCCTTGGATTTCAAATTCTTTAATTAATACTCAATCAATGTAACAGGGGTAGATTCATTTCAGAGGTACAATTTTTTTAGTTTTGGATCAATGCTTACAGGACAGAGGATAGCAGTAGCACAAAGTGACCAGCTCTAGAAGAGAAGAGGATTTACAGTAATTCTTTTCCTTTCTGTTACCTGCTTAAGTTCTGGTTCGGATTTCCTAATATTCACCCACTCCCCGGCCCCCCCGCCGCCCCCTGCCCCCCGAAGATATTTTTAATGGAATAGGTTCTGTCAGCCCAGAATGACATCCTGAATATTTTTTTTTTTTTTTTTTTTGTGTGTGTGTGTGTGTGCAGAGAACCAACTTTAACATGATTTCATTAAACACTTCTTCAAGAATCAAGGTCATACAATATACCTGATTAAAGAAGTACTTAGTGTATGGTTTTCGCTTCTCTTACCTGTCTGACTTCAGGTTGGTAAGGTCAATCTTTTATCTTTATTTTTTTGGGATGAAATCTTTGGGAAGCTTGTCTTCATCTGTTATTTTTTTCTCCATATCTCCAATTACCAGATCGGAAGGATGAGGGAAGAAAATGAAGAATTACAGTAATGTTATGACTTAATTCCTCTGTAACTGGATGCTGTCCCAAGTTAAAGACACTGTCAAGGCGCCTTTTCTAAAGGATAACACTGAAACCATGCAGGTAATATAGTCTTTGATTTATCCATACTTCTTGTTACTCCTGATTTCAGTGCTAGTAATCAGGATTTAATGCATTGCGGTCTACAACAGAGAAGAGCAAAATGTGAGCAGCGGAAGAAGAGAAGAACATTTGCAGTAATGGCTTTCACTTTATCATCTATTTGAGTTCTGGATTAGTTTTCTCCATAAGCTTTCTCTTTTATGTTAATCATATTTTTTCGGAGATAATATACTAGGGAAGTTTGACAGTAATCCGAAAAATAATAACCTGGATTTTCAGATCAGCCAGAAGCAGGTACAACAGAGAATCTTTCTATAACAGAACTTGAAGTTGAAGCTTTTAATGTCAAGCTTTCTCTGTTTGGAATTTTCTTAACGTTGTATTGAAGATGCAGCTTGTTAGGGAGCCTCTCCATTTTTGATAAAATTTGCTTGGGGAAATCCTTTGGTGTCTCAATGAGGTTCTTTTTTCATGCTTATATGGTTTTTGAAAAAGCATTTTATTTCTTAATATAAAAACTTGATGTCCGTAATTTAGTTTTGATGCAGTGAACCAAGGTTAAAGAATGAAGATCATAAGATGGTGTAACACAGGAGTTGTTATATTGAGGTTCTTTCTATCTTTTACCCTTTTTTGGGGGGGCCCTTAAAATAGATATTTAAACCAAGAATGATATTTAATCAATGTTGTTGCTTACTGTAAAGATGTGAATGCATAAAGATGACAAGCCATCCACAGAAAAATAACAATGCATAAAGATGTGAAAAATGCAATGTTGTTGCTTACTATAAAGACCTTAAAAGTTGTTCAGCCAACTGTTGATTCCCGTTTCAATGGCCTCTCTTGAAGGACTCAACCACGAGGGTTTGTGCCTGCAGTAAAAGTAACTGCGGCAATCAATTGCTACCATTATAATTGAGTTCTGGGCATTTTGAAACGTCTCTCTGTATATCAGTTATAGCTTTAACTTTTTCTGGAAAATTTTCGCAAGTTTTCTCAGTTCTCTTCTGTGTCTATCACTCAAGGTCCTGAATTCTTTCAGATCGCACAAATCTTTTGCTTCTGTCAAATTAACTGGTTCTAATTGCTTATCATCTTGAGTTTCTGATTTCTTTAGGGATGGAAGCTGAAGCAAATCTTCTGTTCACATTGGTTCTATGCTTGATGTAGGCAAGAAACCACAAGATTTGTTGATACACTTGTGTCGAGGCCAGGTGATGAGCATATCCAGTTTTAGCTTCTAGATATGTTGTTTTATTAGGGTGCTGTCACGACCATCATATTTTTCTGATACTTTTCTAGATTTTGCTGACACACTTGAGCTTGATGTAGGCACAATTCCTGGCTGCTTGCAAAGTTGGAAGTCTAAGGGCAGTTGGCACTATTGCCCAGATCAAACCTTTGGAGTTTTCAAGCATCGGCTGTTGAGAATGTATTTCTGTGACCCCTGGTGAGAAAGGTACCAATTCTGTGCTTCTTTAATTTACCAGCAGCTGCTCTTAAGACTTTCTTAAACTGCTTGCTTTCTACATCATTTCTAGCATCACTTCTACAAAGTGCAATGCGGAGTAACCTTTTCCATTGTATTGCAGAGCACGGTATTGGTGAACCCTCAAACCAATCCGGTTATCTCCAGTATTATCTGCTACAAGCCTACAAGCACAGTGCAATGTATTTCTGTGACACCTGGAGAGAGAGTTAGGAATATCCTCTGCTAGTGTGCCCCCTTGATGTGGCAACATGTAGAGCAGTTAAATCGTCCTCATCTTCTTAAAATTCCATTAACCAGGTTGCTTCATCATGAGCTTCACCAGATCAAGAAACCCTTTCTCTGCAAGCTACGAAAATGCACTTTCATTATCATGGTTAAGCTTAATAGCTGTCCACAGATTAGTCTACTAGAGCAGCATTACGACACCGGCTTTCCCTTGACAACAAGCTTTATGCAATGGAGTCTCAAGCTTCTTGTTCACAATTGCAACCATTTCATAATGTAGCTCAATGATATCCTTTACCAATTGGTTGTGCCTGAACCTGGACGACAGTTTCAACGCTGCGTTCAAGTGATAATCAATTCTCTGTTCCAGAATTCCTTTGTTGTCTTGAACTAAATTCAGAAAAGCAGCTATATCATGGTTGGGAATTGCCTTAAGAAGCCTTGAAACTATCTCCTTTTTCTTAATTGCGTCTGCTTTCTAATGCTTCTAAACAAATTGGTTAGTTGTACTTGTTTCCCTCTCTCTGATCCTTTTCATTTACTTTTGTACTATTGGCCAATCACGCAAACTTCACTGCATCTCTTGTAATTAAAAGAAAACACATCTGATGTAGTAAATGCCCAATTGATGTCTGGTTCAACTTGGTGAGCTGGCATGAGATCTACATTTCTATTTCATACTAGATGTTATTGATAATACTAATAGGCATTGTACTAGTGATAATCCAGTCTTGTAGCTGGAAATGGGGCGTAACCCTTGTCATTGTATTGCAGAGCAAGGTCTTGGTCAACCCTTAAAAACAATCTTGTTATCTCCTAGTATCATCAGCTACAAGCACAGTGCAATCTAGAAAATCCAGTCTTGTTGGTTTTTAGAGCAAAATCCGGCCGCACCTCCACTACGTTCTGAAATCAACAAAAAAAAATTGATCAGCATTACCACATCAAGATGCCCTCTTTCTGTAAGCCATGAAAAATGGTCTTTCATTTTCATGGTTAAGCTTTGCAGCTAATTACGGATTACTCTCTAAGAGCGGCATTACCACATCCTTGATGACAAGCTTCATAAAATGGATCCTTAAGCTTCTTGTTCATAGATGCAACCATTTCAGGATGCAACTCAATGATATCATGAACGAATTTGACCCGCCTGAACCTTGAGGCAAGGTGCAATACCGTAGTCAACTGATAATCAGTTCTCTGTCCCAGAATTCCTTCGTTGTCTTGATTCAAGTTGTCAAGGGCACCTCTGTCATTTTTGGCAATTGCCTCAAAAAGTAAAAAACCTTTCCATTTTTCTTTTACTCAATTGCCTCTGTTAAAAAACTCTTGAAAACCAGTTAAAATTGTACAAATTTTGTGATGTGAAGTACTATTGAACAAGCTACATACTGTTATTCTCTTTCTATCAATCCATTGATGAACTGTATTCCTGTAACACTTGATTGATTCTAGTTGATAGTCAACTTTATACTCCTAGGAATGTGGATGTGAAAGTATCAGCATCTTTGATTCTTCATGGAATTCATCAGGTTTATGGTTGTTAATTAATCCATTTTTTAGGGGGTAAAAAGTTGCAAAAAACTTTTTGAATGAAGTTCAATGTTGCTTGCAAGAAGATGATCCATTTCGAGTAGAGTTAAATTTTGACGCTTTCAGTATGCATTATTTGAAGCTTCGAGTAAGGCATACATGAAGTTTAGTAGTTAGAACAAAAGTGTAGAACCAATTTTAATTTGAATACACGGATATTATAGGCACCAGTATGTGTACTCAAATTGGATCTTAATTAGAGCGCATCAACCACATTAAAAACAAATCATTTTCCTTCAAGGGATTATCATTTGAACATAATTTTAGCATACTTAAGACAACGACACAATCTAAACTCATTGAACAACTATTTTTACAAAATAACATCTACATACTAACAAAATCAAATCAAAACAGCTTTTTTTCCCTCCACTTTCTCCCGATCATTCAATCTGCAACCCAAAATCCTTTCTAAATCTTAATTTTTTCCCTTTAATTTCAGTTAGTTTCTCTTTTGTTTTCCAAAAAGCTCAATGAATGACTCTAAGTTAATGTTTAATTAGTTTTTATAAAGAGGTGTTTTTGTCAAATCAAAAGGTGTTGACTAATGTGGTTTAAGGTTTCAAAGTATAATTATTTTTGTTTTGGCCCAAATGATATAATCTAATTCTATATCATTTGGACTATAATTATTTTGGCACTAGAAGGAGGGTCTTCCCTGGCAATCTCAACAAACACGATAATCACAACTATTATAGCCATCGCATAACAATAATGGCATGTACGAGAGCATCCAGGAGTCAAACTGGTACCAATAGACCAATAATTAATGTAGAAACCGACAATCAATAATCAATTAGGGAGTCACAAAAGCTTGACCGCCGGTGATTCCACTCCCTTCGCCAATGAACCAATAGGAGGCAGTACATCCAATCCAGAAAATGCAGAGATGATGGACACGTTGAGATCTCTCGCTAGCGCGGTCTAGAACCTTCAACAAGAAGTAACCGAAATAAAGGGGGTACAAGAAGAAAACCAAGCCCCAAGCCAACAAAACATCATCGCAAGGATACAGAGTTGGGCGCTTGAGACTACAGATGACAATTCTAGCTCGTCTAGTGAGCGTCGTCATCAACAATGAAAAGTGAGAGTCTGTACAAGCATAGAGATCAAGGTCACGATGACCTAGGTCGGTGCCCAGGCAAACAACCAATAGGTGAAAAAGAAGATCGTTAGGAAGTTGCTCACTCTGAGCGAGCCAACGATCAAGCTCAGCGTGCCGGTTTGAACCCATGCCATAGGCAAGCGCACTCTTCGTGAGCACGCAAAGATCGCACCACGCGTCCACTAAACACTCAAAATTGACGTGTCAGTTCGCACCCACCTTGTGAGAGAGAAAATCGAGGGTCCACCTCGAATAATACTTGTTATATAAGTAATTACAGTTCATCCTCACATGTCACCGTGCACGATAAGAATGGTCAAAGAGGATAGGGACCACATCTCCGCAGTCATCTTAATGCACGAAGACCTGACCTTCATAAAACTCAAACAATATAATCTAGCCTTTTTAATTAAATTAAGCCCACCAATTTAAATAAACCCAACAATTAATTGGGCCTTAAGTAATAATAAGCCGGCCCACTATAACAATAAAACCCAAACCAATTTAATATGGGTCTACTTTAATTTAGGCCAGCCCACCAAACTAATCTAGCCCACTAATTCAATTAAGCCCATCAACTCTATTAAGCCCTCAATTTCAATTAAGCCCATCAACACAAATTAAATCTTATTCTAATATAATATCCAGCCCATATGCAACCATGACCATCCACAATTTGGCAAACCAACAACACCACATCCCATAAAAACAAAAAAAAAAATATGCATCTCATAAATCTGTCTCCAACC